TCACCCACACACCACACTCACGACACACATCACACGAACAATGTCTCAACACATCACCATTCACTCACTCACAACAACACAACACACACACTCACACACACACACAACTCGGCTGACTGACTCACTACTCACTCACTCCACACACACACTCACACACTTCCACTCATGCTTCACTCGTGGCACAACACGAACACACACACTCACACATCACTCAACTCACACACACACACACTCACTCAAACTCACCTCACACACACACACACCTCACCACACTCACTCACTCACTCAACAACACACACTCACTCCACTCACTCACCACCACACACACCAACACACACACACTCACACACCCACACTCACCACACACCCACACAAACCAACTTCACACACAGCACACACACTACACTCTCTCACACCCACAGCACCACACACACACTCCACACACACAACACACGACACACACACTCACACACACACACACACACTCACACACACACACACACACACACCACACACACACACACTCTCACCACACACACACACACACACTATTGTCACACACACACACACACACACCGCAACACTCACTACCAACACACACACACGCACAACTACACACCACACACACACACACTCAACACACTTCACACACACTCACACACAACACACACACACACACTCACACACACACACTCACACACAACTCACACACACACACACACTTCACACCACAAACACACTCACCACACACACCACACACACACTCACACACTCACACACACACCACACACACACACACTCACACACACACACACACACATCACACACACACACACTCACACACCCACTTCACTCACTCCCACCACACACACACACTCACACAACTCACTCAACTCACTCACACACACACTCACTCACTCACTCACCACACACACACGCACACTCACCACACACAACACACACACTCACACACTCAACACACACTCACACACACACACACACACACACTGCGAGCACACACACCACTCACACCACACTCAACACACACCACACCACTCACACACACACACTCACACACACACACACACACACTCACACACTCACCACACACACACACACACACACACTCACACACACACACACACACACTCACACACACACACAACACACACTCACCACACACACACACACACCACACTCACTCACTCACTCACACAACACCACACACTCACACACTTCACCTCACTTCATCTCCACAACACACACACAACTCACACACTACTCACTCACTCACACACACACTCACTCACTCACTCACACACACACACACAACACTCACACACCCACACTCACACAACTCACTCAAACTCACTCACAACACCACGCACACACACACTCACACACACCACACCCACACACCACTCACACCACAACACACACACACACACTCAACTTCACTCACTCACACACACACACACTCACACACTACACTCAACTCTCACTCACACACACCACAACACACACACACACACCACAACCACACACACACCAACAACACCACCACACACACACACACACTCACACCACACTCACACCACACTCACCACCAACCACACTCAACACACCCCTCTCTCTCTCTCTCCTGTGAGTGTCGGTGCTGATGTCAGTGTCTCCTCCTCAGATGCTTCTCCTCTTACGACGACATGAGCCTGAAGCGGAGGGTCACCTGTCCGCTGGTCCGCTCCAAGTCGTTCCACCTGTCCTCCACAGAAGGTAAGAGCCCCCCCCCCTCTGAAAACACACACACAGCGTACACACTGTGCTCAGGCCGCTCCTCCGGTTCTCTGTAATGTTCTCTTGTGTTTCTCCCTCTGCCATTGATCGCCATTGAAACACGAGCAGCTGCGAGGCGTGAAGCGTCCGCTCTCAGCAGCGTAGACCCGTCAGGCCGAGCTGTCTCACGCCGCTGCAGCTCGCACCGCTCAGCTGTCCACATCCACGCACTGCCCACTCCTTCCTCCATCTTCTCCACTCTCCCTCTCTCTCTATCTCCACCGTTTCCTCTCACGCATGTTGCCCCGCTCAGCGGCTGACGTCCCGGGGGGTCGCCCCCCCCCCCGCAGGGAGAGGCTGCTGCAGGCAACAGAAGAATAAAATCTGTGACTCATGAAACCTAAAACTCCCTCTGCTGTTCATTATCCCTCAGCTGAGTGTGTGGGAGAGAGAGAGAGGGAGAGAGAGAGTGAGTGGACCCTTGAGCTGAGAGACTGTCATCGCCAGCTTGTGCCACATGCAGCTGAAGAGTGTAATGATAGAGCTCGATGCTTCGCTGGCTCATGGACTTTTGCAAGTAGTAATTAATAAAATAATAAGTGGTTAATGCTTCTCTGTGATTAGAGCTTCCTCTAGTTCTTCTAGTCAAACTGTTGTGCAGACATGAAGCCATGATTCATTATATGAAACTACTTGCAAGGTCACGTCATGCTTGTTACATGTATGTATTCCTGTTTCCCATTCCATCATTAACCACGCCCCTCTCTCCCCTCCCCAGTAGGTCCAGATGACTTGTACATTGTAGAACCTCTAAGGTTTTCTCCAGAGAAAAAGGTACAGTGTCTGTTCCGCTGCTGTGACGGCCGCCTTTACTGTCAGTGCTGTGTTGTTTCCTAGTGTCAGTCAGGAGCTCCACACCTGACGTGTCTGTTAACCACTGTGGGCTGTTTATTCCTCCGCCCGGCGACAGGCAGAGCGGCGGCCATTTTGTTTTCAGGCCGTCCGTCTGTCTCGTTCTCATGGACACGATATCTCAGAAACGCCTCCACAGAACTGCTTCACATTTGGCACAAACATTCACTAGGACTCAAAGATGAACTGATTAGATTTTTGGGGGTCAAAGGTCAAAGGTCAAGGACGTGGTGACCTCACAAAACACTGTTTTGGCCTTGTGAGCACGTTATCTCCGTAACACCTTAAAGGAACTTCTTCACATTTGGCACAAACGTTCATTTTGACTCAAGGATAAACTGATTAGATCTTGATGGCTAAAGGTCAAAGGTCAAGATCACAGTTAATATTTTATATGATATAGTCTGTGGCGGAGGGATACAACCACGAGGAGGTGATTAGTTTTAAATAAGTGGGTCAGCTGTAGTCCATCACTCCCTACCAGACTTTCCCGCCCTCCTCTGACCTGTGACCTCAGTGTGCAGCACAATAGTGGTTAACATGGCTTCACATTATTACATGTTTGACTTTCTTTAAATGTTTACTTCATTATTTTCTTCTTCTCTCTTGTTTTTCTTCTTCTGTAGAAAAAACGCTGCAAGACAAAGTCACTGGACAAGGTTGAGAGTGTGAAGGCGTCCGATCCCTCTGCTCCGCTCACAAACGGCGGCCCCAAGTGTAACGGCTTCCACCCATGCCTCCCTGCCCCGCCCCCTGCCCTACCCCCTCCTCCTCCTCTTCCTCTGCCTCCTCCCCCGCCGCCGCCTCGCCCTCCCTCCGCAGAGGAGGAGCCGCCGTTGCCAACTTGCACCTCCAAGGAGTTCCCGTCAGAGACCAGCAGCTGCAGCTCATCCACCCACTCCGAGGAGTCCTACACGAGCCGCCTCCCCCCTCCCTCTCCCACCTTCCCCACCGCCGGCCTGTGCAACGGCCACAGCCTGAGCTTCCCCCTCCAGCAGCCCCCCGCCAAGTCCCGTCACGAGAAACGCTCCATGAAGCGGCGGAAGTCGCGGCAGACGGAGCTGCAGTTCCCGCACATGCCTGCGGGGGGCGTGGCCGCTCTGCCCAGCCTGCAGCAGCTGATGAAGGGAAACAAGGAGATCAGTGTCGGGACCATCAGGGTGACCGCCGTCACCGGACACGTCTGAAACACTCACACTCACTTTTACACAACTCTGTGTGCACACACACACACACACACACACACACTNAGGGTGACCGCCGTCACCGGACACGTCTGAAACACTCACACTCACTTTTACACAACTCTGTCTGCTCTCACACACACACACACACACACACACACACACACACACACACACACACACACACACGCACAGAGAGTATATGGTAGCAGACTTGTGAGGAGATGAGGTCTTACTGCATCCCAAAGAACCACATTTCCCATGAGCACCTAGGCGCACCGTGGAACTGCAGTGGCTCTGGCAGCAGTAGCTCCTCCCCCTGTCACAGACCTGTTTACGGTCACGTGCCTTTATACCTGTTCCAGACCTTTTAAAGCTTCGTGCTGTGGGCGGGGAGAGACTCTGTGCTGGGGAGGGACACATTCATACAAATCCATTCACGTGTGTTCAAGAGGTTTTTTTCTAATGGAGAAGCACATTGTCCCATGACAGCCCCCCCACCCCCACCCCCCGATCCCCACCCACCCTGACTCTGAGCACAGCGAGGAGAGGTGTGGCCTCAACTCCACGCTCCTCCTCCTACAGGAAGCATCAAGTGTTAGTCTGATCCTCTGAGAGCACGACGGACTTCTTCTTCTTTCCTTCTTGTCCGACGTCGTCATCACTTTGATCTCGTGTTGCATCCCAACATGGCTGCAGGTGTTTGTATGGGACCATCTCTCTGTCTCTGTCTGTGTCTGTCTCTGTGTCTCTCTGTCTGTCTCTGTCTCTGTGTCTGTCTCTGTCTCTGTGTCTGTCTCTCTGTGTCTGTCTCTGTCTCTGTGTTTCTGTCTGTCTCTGTGTCTGTCTCTGTCTCTGTGTCTCTCTGTCTGTCTCTGTGTCTGTGTCTCTCTGTCTGTCTCTCTGTCTCTGTGTCTGTCTCTGTGTCTGTCTCTCTGTCTCTGTGTCTGTCTCTGTCACACCGACCGTCAGAGCTGAATGAAGAAAGTGACGTTGCCTGTGGTGAAGCAGTGAATGTGTCCGTCCCTGCAGCAGCAGCTGCTGCAGCATCAGCAGCAGCTGCAGCATCAGCAGCAGCTGTTGTTGCAGCAGCTGTTGCAGCAGCTGTTGTTGCAGCTGTTGCAGCTGTTGCAGCTGCTGCAGCTACACAAGCTGTGTGACGATCCTCAGGTGTCAGAGAGGTTGTTGCTGTTACAGATGAAGGTGAATGTTACAGGGTTCAGACTTTATTCTTTGTCTTTTCATATTTTATTATTTCTTTCATCCATAACTGAGCCGTGCTCCTCTCTTATTGTTGGTCAGAAGGAAAAAGGTTTCTCTCTTTATTTTTATTTGTGGGGGGGGGGGGCACAGGGTAGCACAGTGGAATGTTTACACTTTTACCACACACACACACCTACACACACACCTACACACACACACACACACACACACACACACACACCCCTTGGGGCCCTGCAGTGGAGTCTGACAGAGCAGTTTTATTTATGTATTTATTTATTTAAATGACAGATTTTCTAACAGTTCCTGGTCTGTCCGTCTCCGTCTGCAGCGTCTCAGCGTCTCATCACCGGTACCGACTCACGCTCAGCCGCTTCTCTTTTTATTGTATTTTAACATTTCATCATGAGCTCTGACTTTCTGACATTATAACTAACTGAGACGTCAGACAGCAATCACAGAACTATTGATTATTGATTTAGGCTACGTGTTAATTAGGATCATCACACTGCTGCTTTCGTTTGTGTCCAGAGCTGCTGGGTGGGTGGAGTAGTGGGAGGGGCTGAGCTGAGTGTTGATTTCAGTACTGACCCCTGTGTGCGTGTGTGCATGCTTGTGTGTGTTTGTGTGCTTGTGTGCGTGTGTGTGTGTGTGTGTGGTTTCTGACTGGCTCAGTGTGGTTGGACTCGTGGACGTCGGGACAGAGACAGAACTCTCTTCTACCTTTGCTCTCCCATCAGAGCGTCATGTGACCAGCTTCAGCTTCTGCAGCGCTCTGTTCTCTCTGCATATCTTCATCCACCTTCATCCACTCCTCTTCATCCACCTCTGACCTCTGACCCCGCTGCACGACTTCCTCTGTGACTGTGAAGGAAATGTTTTAATATGCCTGCTTTTACGAACTACTCTAACATGTTCCCGTCAGGAGCTCCATCATCTTCTATCCATCTAAATACCTGCTTTCCTGACGAGCTTCTCCTCCTCTACACCCTCACTCCCATTGTGCGCCCGCTCCGTCTTTTATTCACGCGTCACCGCTCCGCCGCCGCTTCATGCGATGCCTCTGATGATGAACATGGTCTGTGAAGAGAAGGACGTGAATCGTTGTTAAATAAAGGGAACGCAGCAAAGATGGTTCTGAGTTGGAACACTATTAATGTGATTCTGTTTGATCCTGAATCCTGAGTTTTTTTTAACCCTTTTTTGAATGTGTATGATCTCATGTTGGTGTGTGTGTAAACCTGTATACATGTCAGGATTGTTTTAATGTTGATCTCATGTATGTGTGAGTGTCTGTGTTATGAGAAAGACTACTTTTGAATCTACTTATCCCCATAACACAGCGAATAGGGAGACAGCCCTCGGTGAGATTTTAGGAGCTCAGTGTGCACTTTGTATGACTCCTCATGCCTTTTGTTGTTTTTCTTACCTTATATGTCAAGTGCTATCTTTTCTTTTCTCTCTCTCTCTCCCTCCCTCTCTTTCTCTCTGTGAGTACTCTGAAGAGCTGCACAGTATTTTTGAGCAGGAGTGAGTTACTACAGTAACTGTAGTGCCATTAGAAACTGTGAATTTCTAAATAAAACCTTTTTTTGTCGTCTTTCACTTTGACTTTTACTGTGTTGGTTCATTTCCAGTGGATCCTTATGAAGTTTGAAAGCCGACCTTGTCCAGCAAGAAGAGCAAAGGTTCATATATTAACTGTAGAGAGAGTCCAGCTTCTATCTGATGGAGAGGATCACATGGGTTAAAGGTCGGGTCAGTTTCAGCCCTCGACCTTCAAGTGTTGATGGAAACGTTGCAGCTGTGGTTTCAGAGATTCGACCTTTTTACAACAAACTGGATAAAGATTGTTGTTGTTTACATCACATATAAAATATTAAAATTGAAAGTGGTCCAGAAAAGAAATCCTGAAGCAAAGGTTAGATCACTGGGTGGAGGGGATAGTGATTAAATCATGTAATCAAATTATATATATATATTTCTACAATTATAAAATATTAATAACATCATCTATATTATAATATAATAGTAGTTATCTAACATTTCAAGGAAAATAACAGCTGTAATAAGTAATAACAGCTTTTCAAGAATTATAGTGAAGGGTTTAGTTTTACTCAATGCAGCTTGATTTTCCATTTTTCTTTATGCTGAACTCCAACAGTCATTTCTATAAGAAACAATCTCAGCACTGTCTCTTCCACAGTAACTGACCCTCCTATAGAAAACACCTGCAGCTGTATCATGAAGCAAGAAAATAAACAAACACTAATCAACAAGTCTCTTCTTTAAACTGAGATTTTGGTTTTATAGTAAGAAATGTTCAGAGGATTCATGACCCCTGACCCCTGTTATATATATAATCCATGCAGCTCAGATAATCAAACACCAGCCACAGATATATGTAATTATTATATATATTATTGTATATTATTATATAATTATTATTGTTGATCTATTATTAACTGATATTCTTATGATTACCAATGAGCCACTGGATATATAGATACATATATAAAAATATATATGGGTGTGAAGACAGATCGATCCAGTAGGAGGCAGTGGAGCAGCATCAGTGATCAGCTGCTGGAGAACCTCACGGAGCAGCGGCGTTGGACGAGTCTCTCCTCCCGCCACCAGGTGTCGCTGTGAGTAAACCTGAACACTGCTCCAGACACAGGTCTCTCTCCCTCTCTCCTCCTCCTCTCCTTTGTTTACGTTTGTCCATCAACATGGAGGACGAGGTGGATGTTGACATCGAGGGAGACGAGACTGTCGGCAGCATGAGGTGAGACAGCTCACCTGTCCAGGTGAATCCACGTGCTCAGCGTCAGTAGGAGCTGGGCACCGTAGCGCTGTAGCTAGCGTGGAGCCGGTTGTTGTTGGCTAGCAGCTGTGTGTCCCCGGCTCTTCTCGTGTTGTGTTCACGGCCCGCCTCGTCTCTGTGTCGCAGTGAGCTGGAAGCAGCGGGTCTGGTCCAGGAGCAGTTCGTCCAGTCCGCGTGGGCGAGCAGCGCCGGGATCCTGGTATGAGTCCACGAAGCTCGGCCTGTCCCCCGGCTGCGGTCTGACTGTGAGTGAGTGTCTCTGACGGTCTCTGTCTCTCTGTCTGTCTCTCTCTCTCTGTCTCTGTCTCTGTCTGTCTCTCTCTCTCTCTCTCTCTGTCTCTCTCTCTGTCTCTGTCTGTCTCTCTGTCTCTGTCTGTCTCTCTGTCTCTCTCTCTGTCTCTGTCTCTGTCTCTGTCCTGCAGCCGTGGGAGCTGGACAGCTCGATCAGCCCTGAGAACAGGGAGGTGATAGAGAGGATGCTGCTGGAGGAACAGTATCCTTTCCCTGTCTGTAAATACATGTAAAATAAAATAATATAATCATGATATAAACTCTGCACGATGACATCGTATTTCACGATATTTGACTCGACTGTATCCAGATATTAATTCTGGATATCGACAAACTTAGAGCTGAGCAAGTTCTCCTTTGTTCGGCTCGTCTGTAGCATCTGAAGGATTTCAGCCTGAGGACGAGAAGAAAGTCCAGAAATCAAATGTAAATCTCACTGAAACGACTAATTACAGAAATTATAGACATGAAACCTGAGTGAGAAGAAATCTCAAAGTGACAGTGGGTGGTTCTTCAATAGTAGACCGGCTGAGTGTGTTATGATCAGTTCCCTGCAGTGTGAGCATTTCTTCAGACAGTTGAGTCTGTTGGTCCTGACCTCGCTCACAGATTCTACCTGACGGGGAAAGAGATTCCTCCTCACCTCTGGGAGAGCGACACGAACAACAAGCCCAAAGTGAAGAGGTGAGTCTGTTCTTCATTCATCCTCCATGTGAGCTCAGTTCATCCATTCTTCTTCACACGTTTGTGTTCATGTCACTTCCTGTGGGTGTTCAGCTCTCCAGCCAAGACCTCCGCCGCAGCCTCGGGATCCTCGTCTCGCTGGTCCAAACAGGAGAAAGACCTGTTTGAAGAAGGGCTGGTATGACTGCACGTGCACACACACACATTTATTTACAAAACCAAATACCATACGTACTTACACAGACATCCCAGTCCCCCCCCCCCCCCCCCCCCCCCCCAACTGTTTTAACAAGCATCAGTCTGATCGACATAAACCCAATGATTCCTTCCATGATGATGTATTCAGCCTGCGTCAGTGTCAGACTGTGTGTGTGTGTGTGTGTGTGTGTGTGTGTGTGTGTGTGTGTGTGTGTGTGTGTGTGTGTGTGTGTGTGTGTGTGTGAAGGCTCGGTTTGGGCGGAGGTGGACTAAGATTGCCAGGTTGGTGGACAGCCGCTCCGTGCTTCAGGTGAAGAGCTACGCCAGACAGTATTTTAAACACAAGGTGAGGATCTCTGCGCGTCCACGCTCTGGAAATAACGAAGGATGTGCAAACTGTTTGATTATGTGTAAATCTTTCAGGCTAAATCAGAACCCAGGTCAGCAGGAGCCGCTCTGCCCCCCCCCCAGCCCACGCCCAGTCCGTCATCCAGCCTGACCAACACTGTCCGAATAGAGAAGCTCTCTGACGATGAGGACGAGGACGTGGACATCACCGATGACCTGAGTGAGGACGGATCTCGGGCCGCGCCGGAGCAGAAAACGGGCAGCGAGCTCCAGACACACAGTCCCGCAGAGGAGCGGGGGGGGGGCGGTCCTGGGGGAGAGAGCAGGCAGGAGACCGAGGACGGACACAGACGCGTCTCACTGTCTCCGCCACGTCATCAACACTCCTCTTCATTCCCGTGCTCAGAGGAGCCGGACGAGGCGGCGTCCCCTCCACCCAGCAGCCCCCAGACAGGAAGTCACTCAGACTCAGCGATGAATGACGAGGGCCAGAGCTCCACACAGACTGGACACCTGGAGGACACCTGTAGTGACGGGGCAGGTAATCACATTGTGACTGTTGAAACTAGACACACGTCCTTGTGGTCGTATCCCTCCGCCACTCAGACTAGTTCCAGGTCACATGTTCATCAGAGTCAGAGAAAATATAAATATGAACTTTCTGTGTGAAACTTTGTGAAGCCCTGAGTAATGGCTGACCTTTGACCTCTGGCCACTAAAATCTCATCAGTTCATCCTTGAGTCCAGGTGAAAGTTCGGTCGAGGTGTTACTGAGATATCGTGTCCAAGAGAACGACACGTACGGACGACCTGAAAACAAAATGGCCGCCGCTCTGACTCGCCGGCTTGGAGGAATAAAAACTCTTATGTTTTGTTTCCCAGATTCTGCTGATAAGACTGAACAGATCCTGAATCAGAGGTCAGACGAAGACCTGGAGGAGGCGGAGGAGGACGAGGACGAGGAGGAGCTCAGGGTACCTGAGCAGGAGATCACGCTGGACAAGGAGACCATCGCCGAGGATGAGAAACAAGCGATCCCAGAGTTCTTTGAGGGACGGCCCTCCAAGACCCCCGAGAGATATCTGAAGATCAGAAACTACATCCTGGATCAGTGGTATGAAGCCGTCTGCTCAGCCTCAGTCACAGCGACAACACACAGCTGCAGCTTTAAATGTCTCTGTTCTCAGGCTGAAGAGCAAACCCAAGTACCTGAACAAGACGTCTGTCCGGCCCGGCCTGAAGAACTGCGGAGACGTCAACTGCATCGGGAGGATTCACACCTACCTGGAGCTCATCGGCGCCATCAACTTCAGCTGTGGTGACTGTGCTGAGCGTGTCACGGCGTTTTCTTTCATCGTCCAGCTTCAGTTTTCACTCAGAGCTCCGTCTCTTCTCTTCTCTCACAGAACAAGCCGTCTATAATCGGCCGAAGGTGGTGGACCGCTCCAAACAGAAGGAGGGCAAAGACGTGCTGGAGGCCTATCAGCTGGCCCAGAGACTGCAGAGCATGGTAGGTAATCATCACCTTTGACCTCTGAACCTCAGACATGTGAACTATGAGCCCGCTGCAACTCCAGCTAACTGCCCATTGGTTGTAGCGCACCAGGAAACGCCGTGTGAGGGACATATGGGGAAACTGGTGTGATGCTAAAGACCTGGAGGGACAGACATATGAGGTTTGGACACACACACACACACACACCAGTATTGATCAGTGGGTGATTGATTGATCAGTATACTCACTGATCCTGTCTCCATCAGCACCTCAGTGCTGAGGAAGTGGCTCTGCGGAGGGAGGAGATGAAGAAGCAGCCTAAACCCTGCAAGATGTCCAGACTCAGAGGGTGAGTGAGACGAAGCAGCTCGTCCTGTCGTCCTCACGCACAGAAACACTAACGCTCTCCCTCCTCGCAGGTCCTTTGATCCCTTCCAGCTGATTCCCTGCAGGTCGTTTGGAGAGGACGTACAGGTCAGTGAACGTCTCTCCAGCTGTTGACCGGAGTTATGTCTCCGTGTGTCGTGACGATGTAACAGAGGAGAGCACAGTCAGTCAGTCCAGATGTTTTCCTTCCCAACTCCTTGAAGTTAAAGCTCTGCAGACTGTACATGTTCTACTGGTCGGACTTCCCGGTCTAACATGTTAACTAATTGCTGATGTTTTGCAGCCACTTCCTCCAGGAAGTCACGATGTCGCAATCGCAATAATTAACTCAAATTCAACCAATCCCTGTCAACTCTGTGCAACGTTGCATTTCTGTCCAATCACTGCAACTTAAAATCATCAAGGTTTCCCTCCAGTTGAACCAATCAGAGCAGTCCCTGATCAAAACCTTGATGATGTCACCAAACTCACTTCCTTGTTTCTGGCTGTGTATGAATTGATAAATTGAGGAGGTGATATTAAAGGTCAGCTCTCCCTGTGATTGAGACAGAGCAGAGGAGCAGGATTAATTCTCACTGGAACAACCTGCCTTTGATTTTTAATTATTATTATTATTATTATTTTAATGGAGATAGCAACAATTATTGTAATATTTATTTTCTCCTGCAGTTTCATGCAAAAAAAATCTAAAAACATGAGTTTTTAGCTGCAACATTGAAGCTGCAAAATCCTGGAGGGACTGAAGAGCAAACGTTACACTATTTACCAGAAATCAGTTCTTCTTCACTGCTCTAAAACTGTAGCTGCCAGTGGCAGCGATCCCCGGGAAACCTGCTGCTCCATCTGAATGTGAAACTATGAATATGAATAAATGAATAATCTGATATTCATGCTGCATCTTCAGTATCTGAAGTGTTTCTGATGTCATTGAGTTCATTCATTCAACATTCATTCTGCTCGTGTTTCTGTGTCAACACACTCAACTATATATCTACAGTTTGTGTGACGCTCTTCTTCTGGTCTCAGGAACCGTTCCAGGTCATTGTGTGTGCAGAGACTCTCCTCATCATGGACATGGTACGCTCCACACACACACACACACACACACACACACACTGACGTGTTCTCATACATTCAGAGACAACGCTTTTCAAATGAATCATATTTGGTTCATTTTGAACTTTTTAATTTATTTATTTTGTTCGGAGTTAAAATCTGTGGTGTTTTCTATAATTACACTGCATCATATTGTCTATTATAATTTAATATTTTGCATTGTCTCGTTTGCTTCTTCTTCATGTGCTGTCGGCACCATGAGCTCGTTCACTGGCTTATTTTCCTGTAGTCCGTCTCTCTGTCTTTCTTTATGTTTCACTGTAGAATAATTGTCTCTTTTAACTTGTTCCTGACTCTGTGGTGTGTCGGGGGCCTCAGCACGCCCATGTGTCCCGGGGGGAGGTCATCGGTCTGCTGGGCGGGACGTTTAATGAGGAAGAGAAAGTGTTGAAGGTAGAGAACAGATCATTTAGCGACCGTGTATGTTGAAGTTTGTGTTGACCGACTGTGTTTGTGTGTAGATCTGTGCCGCAGAGCCGTGTAACAGTGTGAGCACAGGGCTGCAGTGTGAGATGGACCCGGTGTCTCAGACGCAGGCCTGTGATGTGCTGTCGTCCCTGGGCTTCAGCGTGGTGGGCTGGTACCACTCGCATCCCTCCTTCCACCCCAACCCCTCGGTGCGGGACATAAACACACAGGACCAGTTCCAGGTGATGTGAATGATGAGAGACGTCACGTACAAGTTCGTCTGTGTGTGTCTGTGTCTGATTTCCTTTGCCCTGATTGATCCAGAGTTATTTCTCTCGTGGCGGAGCCCCCTTCATCGGGATGATAGTGAGTCCGTACGACCCAGCTAATCCATCCCCCCACTCCCAAACCACCTGCTTGTTGGTGAAAGAGAGCCAGGAGCCCTCAGGCCCCCAGAGTGAGACACACACACACACACACACACACACACACACACACACACACACACACACACACACACACACACCACATGACTCAATACGTGCGTCTCTGCTCCTCCACAGAGCTTCCCTACAGGTTCGACTTCCTGTCGTCACAACACGTCCCAGACTGGGAGCAGACGATGAGGAGAGCTCAGTGGATCATCCACAAATACTCTCAGACACCCGGGTGAGTGAGACACAAGACTTTAAGACTCGTGGTCTGAAGCTGATCCCATTTCTCTGTGAGGTTTAACATTTTATTTTGTAGAGTGTCTAAACTATTATTTCCTGTCCTGCTCGGTCAGGAGTGTGCAGATGGACAGATTCTTCCGGAAAGACTCTCATCTCACCTGTTTGGAGAAGGTCAGTGCTGCTGGATGTAGATGTCACGTCTCTTTTAACCGACTCACCTCTGCTTTAACTGTTTTATCGCCTCTGCCTCATTTGACGTCACCTCCTCCCTCTAGATGCTGTCATCCCTCGCTAGATACCTGGAGCCTCTCCCAGAGGAGGAGGGAGATTCCTTCCTCACCCAGATCCAGGCCCTTTTCCAGTCAGACTTTATTTCCCAGCTTCAGCAGGAAGAGGAAGACTCGTCCAGACCAGAGGACGCAGATGACTTTGCTTTTGATCAGCTGATCGGCCAGGAGCAGGGGGGAGGAGACTCTGATCGGGATTCTGACTGTGTGCCGCCCGCCACAGACACAACCTCAGAGACACACGGCGACTCGGTGTTACACCTGGGCTCAGTGTTGTCACCTGAACACGACTATTTACTGTGATGGAACAAATCTCTCTCACTTCTATTAAACTGCAGTTATTTACCTCATTAAAGTCTAAACGTTGATGTTTTACCACGAGCTTTTGTATCAGTGTTACGAACTGTTTCACTTTCTATATTAAAGTCCTTTAACCAAAAACCAAATGATTGACCCAACAGAGGTGTGTGTGTGTGTGTGTGTGTGTGTGTGTGTGTGTGTGTGTGTGTGTGTGTGTGTGTGTGTG